CAAACATAAATGTAAAAATTAACTGTATGATTTCTGATAAATTATATTTCCTCTGTGTGGTTGCAGTCCTTAAAATGATAAGCAGTGGGATAGTCCCTTTTTCAGTGTCATTGCTTCACTTGTGAGTGTGGCCAGTGTGTTATGTAGCTATTTGTAGTAAAGCAATATCAGGATTAACGTGCAGGAGGAGTGGATGCAGCAACTTTGTTAAAGGGATACTCCAAACCCCAGAAGCACTTTAGCTTGCTAAAGTACCTTATGTGTGGTTAGTGTGTACTCTTCATTTTATTGTAAAAAAAAAAAAAAAAAAAAAGAGTTCAATAGAAATCAACACTTTTATAAATTGACCCCCTGACTGTCAATCAGACAGCAAATCCTGTTACTTCCTGGTTTGGTTAGCTCAGTGGGGCTCTAGAGGCAGCAATTGTCCAGAGCACCTACCTTGCAAAGCTTTCTCATTGAGCTGTTTTGAGAAGTCTGTGATTGGACAGTCACAGAAGGTCTGGACTGGGTTAGAAGGGGAGGGCTAGCAAAGGTTTCAGGCAAAAGATATGTAACTTTTGCAAGCTGTTTTAGATACGCCCCCAATATAAACTGCAAAATTAAATGCTTGCATATTTCCATTGGGGTATATCTACTAAACAGTGATTTACATGTTTGTTTTGTTTTATGTGGATGGTGAGGCGTTCCGTTGAAGTCTCTGTGCACCAAATCCACTGCAGTTTAATGAAATTGTTTTGGTATATAGATCGTTCTCATGTAGTCTTAATTCTCCAATATGGAAGAGTTAAATAACTTTATTTCTGCATCTCTAACCACACTTTCTGAAAACGATATATATCCATTTGATGTTATCCTAAGTTCAGCATTAGTTGTGTTTTTACTAGAATATGAAGGGGTTCTTCTCATCTACTTGCTCCAAGTTGTGAGGCAGATAATGGGGAATAAAGCATTACCTACTGCCAACAGCCTCCTGTGTGAGATAGATATCTTAGTTGAAAACTGTAGAAAAGCCTACAGACTTTGAATAATGTATAAACAAACAAAAAGTTACCTGTGCACTATCCAAACTCATCTTAACTGTTCCTAGAGATTTGAAATAACACGCAGGTCACTTTTTTTTTTTTTTTTTTTTAAATATCTAGGCAAATACTACAGCCATTGCTGCCAGCCAAGAGTAGTGGGAGTTTGAGCGCAGGGCGTATCGCAATGTTAGTGTCATAACTTGGTATTCCACACGGCTTTCAGGGGGTTTTGACCGGCAGCCACAAAGTCTCCAATCCCACGCTGTCCCAGCCAGAGTAAACACCATGCGGCGTTCGGTTGCTCCTTGTATAGAGCAACCCCTGCACAATCTGTCTTCTGGCAAGACTTCCAGATCATTATGGCAGCCTTGTGCCACCTACAGGAGTCCTTGGAAATTACAGGACCCCGTAGGTTTAGGCTTTTCATAGCATTGAAGTGACAGGCCATATTATTGGAACACATAGTCTGCCCTTCACAGATCACACCACCTTGTGTGATTTGGTGCAGAGTGATGATGCTGTCCAATGAGATTTATTCTCCCTATTTAAATGTCCCTCTTTTTGGAGATCATTGCCCTATCGTGGCTTATTCTGCCCGAGAGTGCATATTGTGTAGTTATTTGGTTTTCTTGTTACTGACCTGGCTTTGTATTTTACTTTTCTTTATTTCTGGTTCCCTGACTTTGGCTTGTTATATAGTTTTTGAGTATCTCTGGTGTCCTTGACCTTGGCTTTCTATTTTGACTCTTCATTTTCAGTTATCTAGGGCTCACGTTAACCCGTCCACTCTAAGTTCCGCTATACGTACCTTCTCTTTAAATGCCTTCTTTCTGGTTACTGTCTCCCTATACTCTGTGTTTCTGGGTTACCCATTCTTGACTGTTAGAACCCTTTATAGCTCAACATTATTCTATGTTATTTCATTTTCAAATATTCTGCATAACATCCCATATTTATTTAATAATGATATATATATATATATATATTTTTTTTTTATTTTTTTTACTAATATCTATTTTCATGTATGTATATAGATTCACTAAACAGTTATTTGAGAAAGTATTCATTATAAATTCTATTCTGCCCCCTGCCTCCATAATGTGTCTCTATTTGATTCAAGAAAGTTGCGCTGTGCCGCAAGGGTAGATTAGCTTATCTTATCTAAGAAATGTAGGATTTTAGGCAGTTGGGAAGGGAATTTTGGAAAAACCTAATAAATGCACATTTTATCTGTAATGTTCAAATGCATTCAAAAATATGAAATTTGTGTCCTAGATCAGGGTCAGACTTTCATGTTCTATGCTGTAGGTGACACAAGACCTAGAAATTACTCACCACTGCAAGCCTGGAGAGTCCATAGCAAACTACCCAGGTATGAAGTGGAAATTGAGCCTACTGACAAGAGCGTACATACCGCGGTCACATACCGCCAGGCCACCCTGCGACCAGGTGCATGCCGCCAAGTGTTGCGGCTCAAGCCCGCACAGTATAATTGCCGGGCCGCAGGTGAAGGGGTTCATCGGGTGGCCCATGCTGTTAGGGTCACCCGATGGAAATGAATATAATCATGAGAGTGGGTGATGATGTCAGACGCTGGGAGGAAGTGACTGCCGCGGTCACTCCTCCCAGCAACCACCAGGAGCCGCACGGGAGAAAGCAGAGGGAGTCAGAGTGGGAACTCTGACTCCCATCAACCTGAGCCACTGGACCCCAGGGAAGTCACTCCTGCACCTAAAAGGTAAGTAATAGGAGGGTGACTAAAATATTTTGCATGTGTGTGTGTGTCTATGTATGTGTCTCTGTGTATGTATGTATGTATGTGTGTCTCTATGTATGTATGTATCTGTGTGTGTATGTATCGGTGTGTATGTGTGTCTGTATGTGTATTTATCTGTGTGTGTGTGTGTCTGTAGGTATGTGTATTTATCAGTGTTTATGTGTACTGTGTCTGTGTGTGTCTGTATATGTGTATGTATGTGTGTGTGTGTGTGTCTATGTATGTGTCTGTATGTATCTCTGTGTGTGTGTGTATAGGGTGGTGGTGAGGGGATGGGGGGCGCCCATGGAATGTGTGTTCGCTACTGACCTTGCCTTTAACTAGGGAATCAAGCTACTCCACTATTAGCAAGAAATATATATATATATATATATTTACACCCACACTACATGCTTCATGTTTTTCTAGGCATTCCATCTGCTTACAGAGAAAGCTGGCGGAAGGTGAGACTACCATTACAGAAATGGGGGATAGATTTTGATATTGAGAGCTCAGAACTAAAAAAAAAAGGGGATTGCGTTAGTGGAACTGGAAATAATAGTTTCTCTTTAAGGGTATTTAGGAAGAGTGAGACCCACAACTCCTGTTTAATAAAAAAAAATAAAAGAAATTGTAAGAATAAAAGACTGGGGCAGTATGATACACATATTATTTCTATTTCAGAAGATGTGGAGTATGTCTCTCAGTATCAAGGCTTTGTTCAGTCAGAATGTGACTCACTTTCACCAGGGCCGGACTGGCCCACCGGGATACCGGGAAATTTCCCGGTGGGCCGCGGCACCTGGGGGCCGGCCTCGTTCCTGGGCCGGCCCTTTAAATACTGCAGCCGCCTGAGCGTTCTGTGAAGAGCGCTCAGTCGGCTGCAGCTTCTCCCCTCCCCTCCCCTGTAGCGTGGCCGAGCTGCACTCTGGTCCGCGGTGGCCGGCCGGAGTGATAGGAGGGTGCACACTGAGTGTGCACTTCCTGTCAGTCCGGCCGGTAACAGGAAACAGAAACTCCTGTTCCGCGCGGAGTTTCTGTTTCCTGTAACCGGCCGGACTGACAGGAAGTGCACACTGAGTGTGCACCTTCCTATCACTCCGGCCGGCAGGCCACGCGACCGGAGCGCAGCTCGGCCACGCCTACAGGGAGGGGTAAGAAGAGGGGGGGGGAATAAGAAGAGGGAGGGGGGGTGAACAAGAAGAGGGAGGGGGTGAATAAGAAGAGGGAGGGGGGGAATAAGAAGGGAGGGGGGTGAATAAGAAGAGGGAGGGGGGGTGAATAAGAAGAGGGAGGGGGGTGAATGCTAGAGGGGAGGGGGACAAGAAGAGGAGGGGGGAACAAGAAGAGGGGGGAATAAAAAGGGGGGAATAAGAAGAGGGAGGGGCGGGAATAAGAAGAGGGAGGGGGAATAAGATGAGGGAGGGATAAGAAGAGGAGGGGGAACAAGAAGAGGGAGGGGGGAATAAGAAGAGGGGAGGGAGGGATAAGAAGAGGGGAGGGGGGAATAAAAAGAGGGGAGGGAGGGAATAAGATGAGGGGGGAATAAGAAGAGTGGAGGGCGGGGAATAAGAAGAGGGGAGGGAGGGAATAAAAAGGGGAGGGGGGAATAAGAAGAGGGGGGAATAAGAAGAGGGGGGGGAATAAGAAGAAGGGGCAGCTCTATAGGACAGGGGGCAAGACAGGGAACTCTTTCACACTACGCGCGCACACACACACAATGCATCCCTATACATACACAGAAACACAACATGCTTCCCTTACACACAGAGAAACACACAATGCATCCATTACACACACACACACACACACAATGCAACCCTTACACACAAAGACAATGCATCCTTTGCACACATACACAAAAACAGACCATGCAAACCCATACACACGCATGCAAACACACACACTTCTTTTCTTACATACACACAGAAACACAATGCATCTCATGCACACACATACAGACACACACCTTGCATCCCTTATGCATACAAACACAGATTCACACAAAGCATCCCTTACACACAACCAGAAACACATAATACACACTGCTTCCACTACACACAAACACACTGCATCACCTGCACAAACTGGTAACCCTAAACACTACATACCATAAGCACACATATTAGATCCTCTACAATAACACATAACACATCCCCTACACACTCCACTCCCTGTGAGCGAACTCATGGGTGGGTGGAACTTATGAGTGGGCCTTATGGGCATACTCACCGCCAGGCCCTGGGGCCCAGACCTTGAGCTGTGTAAGGGGCCCCAAAAAAATTGAGCTGCTTCCAATTCTCCCAGAACATTGAATTTTGTGACCACAGTTGCAAACAGCCTCCAGAGATCCTGTTCTACACCAGACCAGTGGAGCCAAACTGCAGCCCATCATCATCATCCTCATCTGCTTGTAAGTAGGCAATCTAGTATATTATTAGTGACACTAATCTATAATGTACCTCACATTAAAGGGACACTATAGCTTAATGAAGTGGTTCTGGTGTCTATAGCTGGTCCCCGCAGGCTTTTTAATGTAAACACACACTGTGTGCAGCACTGGCGTTAGTTCATATGGCAGATCATATGGGTGGGGCATTGTGATGTGACATGTGGGGGCAGCAAATTTTATTTTGTCTAGGGCGGCAAAAATCCTTGCACCGGCTCTGATCCTGGGCAGGTGCACCAGTCTACTTGACTGGTTTTGCCCCCCAGGCCTAAGGCTGCCAGCCCTCTGCTCCCCAGCACGCAGCTGAATGAGACCGGCGCCGGAATATGACGCCATATTCCGGCGCCAGTCTCATTCAGCAGCGCGGGAGGGCACTAACACAGGAAGCACCTCTAGTGACCGCCTGAGTGACTGTCACTAGCAGTGTCACTTTGAAGCAATGTAAACACTGCCTTTTGTCTGAAAAGTCAGTGTTTACGTTGAAAAGCCTGTAGGGACATGCTATAGACACCAGTACCACCACATTAAGCTGTGTGTGTGTGCCTGCTAGTGAGTGAGCTTGCTTGCATGTGTGTGCCTGCTAGTGAGTGAGCTTGTGTTTTTATGTCACTGAGCTGATGTATATCAATAAGATTGTTTGTCTATGAGGCTGTGTATCAATGAGCTTGTGTGTGTCACTGAAATGTCAGTGAAATTGCCTGTGTCTGCATGTGAGTATGCTTACTGTATAATTAAACGTTTTACCCTGAAAGGACCAATATTTTATATTAGAAAAAGCAATATATATATATATATATATATATATATATATATATATATATATATATATAAAAATCAATAAAGGGAGCACACCAGGACTTCAGTAAAGTGCAAAAAGTATTTACTGTATCCAAAACATGATACAAATTCTGTGTAGAGAGAATCTACACAGAATTTGTATCATGTTTTGGATACAGTAAATACTTTTTGCACTTTACTGAAGTCCTGGTGTGCTCCCTTTATTGATTTTTATATATATTGGAACGCGGGATTGCACCCAGGCATTTGAGCCTTTACTAGAAGGATTTTTGGGTGGAGTGCCTTGCCCATTCATTTTTTGTATTTATATATATATATATATATATATTACTCAATCATCTGTCCTGGCAAGACATAGCCTTACATATTACACGCGACAATATATGGCGCAGTGACTTATGGGGCTGGCACAAATATTTTTTCCAGGGCTGCTTTGTATCCCCAGTCCGGCCCTGACTTTCACCCATGAGACCAATAATTCAATACGGATTGGAGCAAAGTATACCAACACCCTCAAAATGGTGTTGGTATTATGTGTAAAATGAGCCATCCAATCACAGTGCTCTGTGTCATTATACACAGCGTGGGAAAGTTCTTTGGAATTTTTCCACGCTGTGTAAAATGACAAGAGGCACTCTGATTGGCTTAAACCCACCAATCAGAGTGTTCTTAGGCTAATTGAAACGCGTCTGCATGACTGTGATTCTGTGTGTCACCATATGGGACCTGCACAGTTACTATTTTAATTTTTAATTTTTACTTACAATAAATTTATTATTTTTTATTCATCCTTCTGCTGCTGTTTTTTCCTACTTCTGGGGGATATTATTCAAGATTCTCCACAGAGCCTTCTGAGGCACCCTTGGGCACCATATACAGAGCCTGGCACGGCTCTGAAATCCGTGAGTGTATTCAATCACTTCCATATTTTCTTCTTCTGTATATACAGGCTATACTATGTACTATTTTTTATCTTTATAGGTTTTTATATGGACCATCTCCTATATGTACCTGTACATGTATAAGTATTATTATTGCCTGTTTTGATACACAGGGAGTGGTGTGTGTATTTGGCACTTGTTGCTTTTAGTACCTTTTTCTATTAATTGCAGGGTGGGGCAAGGCTTTATAAGCCTTCCCCCGCCCTGCGCAGCCCTCCATGGGTGAACATGGATTATTTTTTTGCGCTCGTTTTTTATTTTTTATTTTAAGTTCGACAGGTATGATGGTTTTTTTATTTGGCCTTTTTTGGGGCTGAAAAATGAAGATTTTAGAAAAAAGAAGACGTTGAATGGTAAGTTTAATTTTACTTTACAGATTAGTAATTTTATTCCCCCCTCACTATTTTTTAGGGTGAGAGGGGTAGGTAGGGGACTTTTTATTTGGGTGGAGGCTGGGTGACTAGGGGCTTGGGGACCCCTAATCACCTTTGATGGGGGGGGGGATTTGACCTAAGGCCCCCATCCGCCGCCCGGGGGTGGGGGCTGGGGGGGGGAGGACAGTAGGTGTCCCCCCCCATTATCATCATTGCCCCCACCCGCCGCCCAGGGGAGGGGGCCGGGGGTACCCCCCCCTCATTATCATTATGGCCCCCACCCGCCGCCCAGGGGTGGGGTCGGGGGTACCCCCCCATTATCATTATTGCCCCCACCCGCTGCCCTGGGGGGGAGGACAGTAGGTCCCCCCCCATTATCATTAGGGCCCCCACCCACTGCCCGGGGTGGGGAATAGTTGTTTTTTTGTTTTTTTTTACTTTACAGTGAACAGCCACAGGCTGCTCACTGCTTACTAGACATGCCCCTACTTGCGGTATAGCGAGTAGGGGCAGCATTTACTAATACAAAGTAATCTTTACTCAGTATTAGTAAATGTGGCTGAAAGACCAATTTAGGTCTTTCAGCCTTTTAGTAGATAACTCCCTGATACCGTGGGAGTTATCTACTAAGCGGCTGCAAGATGCAGCCACAGCACGAATAGGATCGGAGTTTCATTCATTCGAATGAAATTCCGATCCGAATAAAGTGCCGAATTGCGTTCTAAAAGAAACGAACATACTGTTCTCATTCAGTTAGAACGCAATTCGGCAGTTTCGTGTAAAATGACAGGAAGCATCGCGGGAACACAGAGGAAAGGTAAGAATTATGGGAAAATTTCTCTGACCAGCGGAAATGAAGCACACTTTGCTCCTCCGCTGGTCAGAGCTGGTCAAGCGGAGGAATCCTCCATAAGGCAAAGAATCCCTACTTTGTCTTATGATTTTAAAGAAAACTAAAGAAGACAGGAAGTAAAGAAGAACAGATACTGAGAGAGGGGGAGAAGAGGAAGAGATTGAGGAAAGGTAAGTTCGGCATGACAGTGCCGCTTTAACTCCTAAATGACAGTGAATTGAGCAGTGAAATTGCAGGGGAATGATCTATACACTAAAACTGCTTTTTGTAGCTAAAGTAATTTAGGTGACTATAGTGTCCCTTTAATTAGCAAGAGTAGTCACCGGGTAGTATACACGGTGCAGAGTGGAGCTCACAGTCTGGCCTAAAACTCTGACTGCTGCAAACCAATGCTATATGAGGGAAGGGGGAAAATATCTATACTGGCCACTTGTGTCTTCGAGGGCACCCTCAGTCAATACCACTCCCCTCCTGAAATAACAAAGTAGGCAGTGGTTTTAGAAGGTACCTAGCAGCTGTGGAGAGAAACTACCTGAATTGGGAGAAACATGAAAAATCTAAAGTGTAATACCAAAAAAAAAACAACTGATAACCATTGAAGCTACACCAGCTTTGGGAAGATAGTTAGAGCCCCTGACGTACTTTTCGCCAGTGGTGGCTTATCAGGGCCGGCGTGTCCATAAGGCGGCACAAGTGACCGCCTTAGAGCGCACCGACCCGGGGACAGGGCTGGTACAAGGATTTTTGCCGCCCTAGACAAAAAATTATTGCCGCCCCCCATGTGACATCATAATGCCCCACTCATATGATCTGCCATATGAACCAACGCCAGTGCTGTTTTAAACACAATGTGTGTTTACATTAAAAAGCCTGCAGAGGCAGGCTATAGACACCAGTACCACTACATTAAAATGTGAGGTAAATTAGAGATTAGTGCCACAAATAATATACTAGATTGCCTACTTACAACCAGATGAGGATGATGAGTCTGGTCCCACTGGTCTGGTGTAGAACAGGATCTCTGGAGGCTGTTTGTAACTGTGGTCACAAAAGTCAATGTTCTGGGGGAACGTGAAGCAGCTAAATTTTTTTGGGCCCCTTGCACATCTCAAGTTCTGGGCCCTCAGGGCCTGACAGTGAGTATGCCCATAAGGCCCACCCATAAGTCCATCTACATGTTCCACCCATGAGTTCGCTCACAGGGAGTGGAGTGTGTAGGGGATGTGTTACGTGTTAGTGTAGAGGATCTAAAGTGTGTGCTTATGGAATGTAGTGTATAAGGATACCAGTTTGTGTAGATGATGCAGTGTGTGTGTGTGTGTGTGTGTGTATGCAGTGTTTTTTGTGTAAGGGATAGAAAGCAGTGTGTGTTTGTGTGTAAGGGATGTATTGTGTGTTTCTGGTTGTGTTTAAGGCATGCATTGTGTGAATCTGTTTTGTATGTGTAAGGGATGCAAGGTGTGTTTCTGTATATATGTGATGCAGTGTGTGTCTGTAAGTGGTGCATTGAGTGTGTGTGTGTAAGATGTTTGTGTCTGTAAGTGGTGCATTGAGTGTGTGTCTATGTGTGCAAGGAATGCATTGTTTTTGTGTGTAATGGATGCATTATATGTTTGTGTGTAATGGAAGCATGGTGTGTTTCTTTATGTATAGGGAAGCATTGTGTGTAGTGTGAAAGAGAGAGTTTGTGGGGTAGGATATGGGCTTGTGCTTCTCTTTTCCCCCTTCCTCAGCCTCTCTCCCCTCTTGTCCCTTACTGCTCCCCCCGTACCCCCCGTCCCTTAGAGCGCTCCTTAGTTATCTCCCTGCCCCCTTTCCCATAGTGCTCCCCATCCTGTACCGAAGACACAGGTAAGGAGGGGAAGAGGAATACTAAGGGACAGGGGAGGGAGGGTAGAGGAACACTAAGGGACTGGGAAGAGTAACACTAAGGGACAGGGAAGGGAGGGGAGAGAGAGGAACACTAACGGACAGGGAAGGGAGGGGAGAGAAACACCACAAGACATGGGGAGAGGACCACTAATGGACAGGAAGGGGAGGGAAGTAGACCATTAAGGGACAGGGAGGACAGAGGACCACTAATGGACGTGGAGGGCAGGAGAGAGGAACACTAAGGGACATGGAGGGGAACGTGGCACACTGGGGGGCCTGAGTGGGGAGACAGACACACAGATGGGCCTGTGGGTGAGAAAGTTCACAGAGGGGCTGGGAATGAAAGTGACACACAGAAGGGCGTGGGGAGGTAGAAATACAAAGAGGCTGGGGGTGAAAGAGACACAGAGGGACTGGAGAAGAGGAAATAGAGACACAGAGGGGCTAGGGGACA